TTCCTCATTCATTACCTTAAATATTGTAAGACTGTTAGTTTCTATAAGCTCACTAGCTTAATTATTTTCCAGTTAAAGTTATATTTTACTCTTACTTATCTGACTTTGAAGAAATGAATAAAAAATGGTATTCACCCTTACTTCCTTAAAATCATTCTGAATGTTCTTTTAAGAATATGTCCGTTTATGTTTAAGCCATTGAATTCCGTAATTGTTTAATAATGTATCAAGAATTTCGTTCCGTATTTTTATATTTAAATTAAAGATTTTACAGTATTTCAACTGTTCGTTATTGGTTAACTTCAATCTTCAAATTAAAAAGCGCATGCATAAAAAAGTCACAGTAAATAAAAGTGAATGTTGCTTGACTAAAATATTTGCAAACTTATTATTTTGTTTGAATTAATGACTGCCTTTTTTCAAGAATGATTAAATCATACTTATATGTTTATTCAATTCAAATATTACATGCTGGTTGAATTTGATTTTCTTAATGGAGCAGTTCAATATTTGATGAATTGAATGTTGTCAACATAATTTAATTGTGAAGAAATTTTTAAGCAAGTTTTCTCAATTTGTTATACTATCATATACAGCAACATGCTGTTTAACAATTGTATTGGTTGAACATATTCCAACCAACTTTTGAGGAAAGGTTAACATATACAGGTCTTATTTCTTTGCATGCAACTATCTACGCATTTTGCTTAAAGCTTAAAACTAACTGCTTTATTCTTTCAATTTGTGTTTATTTACTTATTTCTCATTGAAAACAATTTATGAGTTTTATTATAAGCTTGGAGATTTTGTAAACCGGTCCTGCAGTCAGTGCGTACCATACATATATTCACGTAGGAACTTATTTCTTATAGCCAGTGTGAGTGCTTATATTTTAACAGCTCTGTTGATGAAACAGTGATTTCGTTCGTTTAACCCATAGATGCGAAAATCAAAAATAAAGTTCAAAACTTTGTCTGATTATTAATTTTGATGCGATATATTCCTTAAATGTTAATATAAATGTTACCATTTTATGCAATTACTATTTCCTTCTGATAAAAGCTTAAAATGTATGAACATATACTGGGTGTGGATCTCATGTTTATACAAATCAAAGCTATGAAGGACTAAAAGTGATAAACAAGATGTGAACAACAAGCATGGTTTGCTTATTTAATTATAACACGTTTAAAGAAAAAGAGGATAATAAATGAGTGCAGATTCGATACTGAATTAATTATCAACTCAACTCAACTCAAATAATTTTATTGGCATAAAACAAATAACAAGTTTATAGCAATACAAAATATAACCAGTTCAGTGATAATAGAAAGATTATACATGTTTCAATATTACAATAAAATATATAAGTTAATAAGGCTTTACGAGTTCAGCAACATAATTGTTGTTGCCATCAAGTTGTCACTCAAATTTACAAGTACTATTGTTAATGAGACTTACATAAACTAATAAACAATTGATACATGACTTTTTTTCTGATCTTATTAGTAACTACTCATTAACACATTTGTATTCATACCCAACTTAATAAAGACGCACCATTGTTTGATGTTCACATCGTACAACAAAAAATAATAATTTCGTACATATATTCACGGATTTATATTAAATCCGTGATACATTTTAAAAAAAAATGTGACAACAAGTTTTAAGTCAAAGGTTTATGTGAGAGAAAATCTATATATCTGTTCAACGTTATTGTCAAGAAACATGTCCTATATACGATAATTAATACCACGATATTTAGTAGTACTTGAGAAAACCACACAAAAATACCTTAATAAAAATACTTAACAACAACAACAACAAAGATCGTTTGTAATGGGCGGTTTGATTCTTTTTTTTACCAAATTTTGCCTAATTCTTTAATTATTATACGATCAACCACGGACTTTAATATAAAGTCCGTTGATCAACTGTACTATATTACTTTACTACGTTAATTTGTTACCTTAAAGTTTTATAAAAAATATAATAATAATATATATATAAATAAATATATAAATTCGATTTTTTAAATGTTCTTGATTAAAGTTAAGAATTTTAATTCAATTTTAACATGTATCGTTTCCAACTTTAAATAAGTTCTATTCTATAATGTCATCAGGAAATAAAAGTAGAATATTGCAACTATGTAAATTTTTAGATAATGCATTCGCATTAAGATCTAGTGTTTTAGAAACAATGCAAGAATTGTAAATTCGGTATGTTTCTGCATTTTATGTGAACATTGTATATTTGTATTGAATGTATGTCATATTTCAAGTGAGTTATGTATGTTTTGTATGTATTGCCAAAGGCAAAGTTTTGTCGAAAAATGCAATAAATATTGAATTGAATTTATAATATATATGGCAAAAGTTCAAGACAAAATGTTTATAGATATTTTCATTTAAGGGTTAATGGTCGAAGTGTCTATATATTAGACGCCGAATAGTTATGCTAATAGGGGTTGAAAGTAGAAAAGTCTTACTTATTCAATTTGACCTGTGTTTAAATAATACGGATAAATTGTTTTTAATAATATATCATGTATTATTGTGTTTTTATTTTGTTGTTGTTGTTTTTTTTTTATTTTGATATTTTGATATACCGAATAATAGTCGTATATACTGTCGGAATATCTTCATAAATTGAGTCTTAGATACTCATTCATAAGAGTAACCAGTACTTGAAGAATGAGTTATAGAGTACATATTAAAACTTAAGGCTCTGGTAAATGTAGAACTTTATTTTTACATTTTTTTAGTTAATAGATAAATTCAGTCATTTGTTACGACAGGCTTTGAAGGTAGGCTTTATAACCTTTTCAAAGGGTTTCCAGTGTTTGTAATCTACATAACATACTTTTGAAGAAATTTAAGATTTTTTAAAAAAATTATGAATGGAAACAAATATTGAGCGTAAAATATATTTAAGATATTACAAAATAGTAGTTCTTATATATTTTAATGAAAAAAATTATACCAAACAGTTCATTGCATATTTTTACGACATTGAAATAAATAGAGGATTTTGAATGAGTGTAAGTCCAGTACTGAAATTATTGAACGAGTTTATTATTATAATTCAATTCAAGTCATAAGGCAAGATAAAAAGAAAAAAAATGATGTTGTTGTTGTTGTTGTTTGTATATATGGTATATATTTCACATAAATAAAAGTATCCGCATGTTCACTAGCGCTAAGGAAAGACCCACGATAATGTTGTTAAAACCTTTTGCCCAACACTTTGATTGTACACCTACTTGATGATTATGTTTGTAAAATTGTGAAATTGTATATTGCGTATATATTTACACAATAAAAATGTTATTGAACTAAAACATTAACGCTATGTGAAATATTGCAATTTTCTCACTTCTCAGTGAGATAAATAATGTATTCGCACAAAACAAATATCCTCTGTTTATCACACATCAGCCACGTGGTTTACGTGACCAGGTGCTTTTGACAATATTCTGTCAATGACTTGTTTCACACACTTAATTTCCCAGAGGTGTCTATATATTTTTATTTCCAATTCTAAAAATATGTATATTTACTTGATTTATATTCTTGGTTTGGGAAAAAAACTTGAATTCTGAGTGATGTAATCTTTTGCAGATATCTTTATTTATTTAAAAATATTTGATAGCACATGAAACATCTAAAATCACAAAAAGTTTAAATTTTGCATTTTAAAAAGGATACTCGGCCGAAGCATGGTCTTTCAAATGTACAATAAAAATGCTTATGTAACTCGGATCTATTTTCAAATATGACCAGGAGAATCTTACCTTGACACAGGCAACGAATAATTTCTAAGTTCATTGCAAATCTATAGGATTGTTACCTTTCAAAGTAAAACCTGATATTGTAATGTAGCCATGATTAGTTTTCCGTAATTTTTTGGTCGATTATCTTTGATGCTTGAATGGTGATGTACTATGCCAGATCACGGTTGATAGAAACCCACCACGTGACTCAGCCGAGACATCTTTTTCAGACCATTCTATTTGAAAGACCCTGACCGAAGTAAAACTTGTTATATTACATAATTATGTTATTTCTATAGAAATATTAGCAATGCTTGCATAGCAATGACATAATAATTTCTTGTAGCCAAGAAAACAGAGAAAAGAAATTATAAGCATATTGATATTGCTGTCAGTCAAATGAGGAAAACTTTTATTTTACAATATTTATTTAGTTGTTCCTTTTACTTGTTTTTAAGTTTGGAATTCTGTTTTTCTCTATTTTATTGTCACATCGGTGCTATTTGTGCCGCGTGGCGGCTGAAAAAGTCTCCCCGTACATATAATAAAAAACGTTATAAGCGTACAGGATCGTGAACGTTATTGGTGGTCTCATTATTTCGGACAAAATTAGTAATTCATTACGTTTTTGTGTAAATTAAACTCAGTAATTTAAAATAATCAGTTAACTAGAAAATGTAATGAGATCTGAATGCAAAATGAAATGATTTGTGGGAAGAAGTTTGATTTAAAAGAACTTAAATATCGGAGCAATTTAAATAGAAAGTTAAAGAACTATCATGTACATTCTATTTTAGAACAATCCTTTACATTTAATTTGATAATGGCAAAAATATCCTTTACATTTTTTTAAGAATGGCCATTGAGATTCTCAAATTTCATCTTGTACTTTTAAGATGACCAATGAAAATTCTTTTTATATTTGAGCCGCGACATGACAAAACCAACATAATGGGTTTGCGACCAGCATGGATCCATGCTGTTCGCTATCAGTTTCTCTACTTGTTATAGGGTTTGTAAGCGAACAACATGGATCCTGATCATACTGCGCGGATGCGCAGGCTGGTCTGGATCCATGTTGGTTGCAAACGCATTATGTTGGTTTTGTCATGTCGCGGCTCATTTAGTTCTTCCCTGCAAATTTTACAGGAAGTCAAACTAATTATAAACGTCCTTCGGCCGGAAAACTTTAACATTAAATGAAGCAAATACCAACAAGACATTTGAAGCAGTAATAAATTTTATTGTACAATAAATTATAATAAAACCTGTTTTAACAAATAAACTTAACAGACTAAATAAAGGCATTGTTGACTTTGTTGTTTTACGTTCTTTGCAACAAAACATTAAATAACCTCAGTTATAAGACAATATAATACCACTGAATTTTACTAAAATGTTCAATGAAATTAAACATAATGAAAATTGAGCCGTGTCACGACAAAACCAACATAATGGGTTTGCGACCAGCATGGATCCAGACCAGCCTGCGCGTCCTATAACAAGTAAAGAAACTGATAGCGAACAGCGTGGATCCTGATCAGACTGCGCGGACGCGCAGGCTGGTCTGAATCCATGCTGGTCGCAAACCCATTATGTTGGTTTTGTCGTGACGCGGCTCAATTCATTTAAAGTCTTTTCACGACTTTATACCAATTCCATAATAATCTGTGTTATTTCACGACGATGGTATTTCAAAGAAGTGATACTGACATAATACTTTGCGCTTCGTTTTAGCTGAAACATGTTATATTCAAAAGTTCCAATTAACAAAGATGAGGCAAGAAAAAAGAGATTAAAATTTGATTCTAATTTGATTGAAGTGTATATTGTTAACACGTGTATTCATTAGTTTATCAAGCATTTTTTCCGTTCTTAACAAATGCCTTATATGAAACATAGGACAGTGTTATATGCAAATTTCAGAGAATACTTCCGATTTTCGTTGGGTTCGCTTCCTGGATCTAACCCGTACCGTTGCCATTTGAGGAAACATGATTTTTACTTACTTTAAAGGAAATATTCATGAAAAATAAATATCGTATTGAATGATTTTGTAGTTTTAAATCTGCGGCGTAAGTAAGAAAAAGTGTTTATATCATAGAAAAGCAAACGTAGCAACGCATTAAAATACAGGGAATCTTTCAAGGTGGAAGCATTTATGTCTGAATAACTAAGTTCTTTACGATACGCAAACATAAAAAAGAAAGAAAAAATATTTATTTCCACTATAATCCAGACTTGGGTTTAACGCAGCTACATGTATGTGTTATGCAACATTTTTCAAAATCAGTAACTAACAACAAAAAAGAAGAACGTTACATTATATATATCTTATTTTTGTATGTTAAAATGATAAAAAACGCATACACAAGTAATAATATTTGTCGAAGATTTGTCGATATTTTACGAGGAAAGTTATTTTCAGTTGGTAATGAGATAATAAGAAATAAAGCATAAAAGTTAAGTAATAGAACAAAACGTTTAACCTCATTGTAAGTTTGGTAAACCTAAATCTCTCAAAACAAGCAAAAAACATCTGATGTTAAAATCTACTCTCCTCATCGTCCTGTGTACTCATTCGCTTTTTGGCTGTACTAGATTTGGTAACGGAGTTCGTGACACTGTGAGCATTGGCGGTGGGCGGGGGAGTTGATTCCGCAGGCGACAAACACTTGACAAGAGACACAATCTCGGTCTGCATATTACTAAGTGCATGGATTATGTTAAACATGGCTTTCTGATTTTCAGTCATTACGCGTCGTAAAAACTCAACATCGTCAATAATTCTATTGTTCTCTTTACTACTGGCTTGCAAATGTTGTAATCGTACATCTAACAGCTTTTGTTGTCTTTGAATAGCATCAAGCTGCGGTATTGCTAAAGTTGTTGCAATCTGTGTAGCGCCGTGAGAAATTTTTCTTCCTTGTCCACGACCTCCACCTTTTCGTTTCCGCATTGACGATCCTCTGTTGTCTGTATAAAAACACAAGATATGTCGGTAAAGGCGAATCATGCTTTCAAAAGATGAACATTTTTCAATATATGAGCCGCACCATGACAAAACCAACATAATGTGTTTGCGACCAGCATGTATCCAGACCAGCCTTCGCATCCGCGCAGTCTGATCAGGATCCATGCTGTTCGCTATCAGTTTCTCTACTTGTTATAGGGTTTGTAAGCGAACAGCATGGATCCTGATCAGACTGCGCGGATGCGAAGGCTGGTCTGGATCCATGCTGGTCGCAAACACATTATGTTGGTTTTGTCATGGCGCGGCTCATATATCAAATTTTTATTGTCCATCGATCACTTAAATAAAGTCTATATGAACAGTACCCGACCACCTAAAATATTTACCTACCAAATATGAACGTCATCAGTCAATCATTAAAGACTGTGTAAGAAAAAAAGTAAAAACATACTATTACCACAGGTGACCTTGACCTTAACTCAAATGACTTAACTACACCCAACGAAAAAAGACCTTCTACCACATAAGGTATCAACCTACCAAATATGACATACTGTTGACCTTAATTTTCGTGATCCCTATCTCCATCATAGGTTAGAGGCCTATCTAAGAATTTTGTCTACCAAATATGCAAGACAATAGTCAATAGTAATGGCTGCTCAAGCAAATATGTTTAAAAACTATGCACGGGAGACCATGACCTTGACCTAAGTGACCACTTATTCCACTCAACATTAGATTACAATACAAAGTATCTACCTACCAAAGCATACAAACATCACTAAATAAATAAAGGTTGTACAATTTTTTATAGTTTTATAGCACGTGTGACATTGGCCTTGACGAAATGACCCTAACATCACTTTTATCTATAAATATTATCGACGTTGGCCCAAAAGAACAGACGGGCGGGGGGGGGAGAAATAAAAAAAAGAAACACATACAAATCAAAGCCCATAAATGTCCGGACAGACGGGCAGATTGAAGAAGACACCAATTGGCAATCATATGTCCGGAATTATAAAACACAATTATTTCTTGTTCAGATACTTGAGAATAATTGTTCAGTTTGAGTTTGTATCTAGTTCAAGTCATGTAGCGATGTCTTAATGATGTCTTAATAATGTCTTAATACACTCGTTGTCGAATAATATATCTAAATTTGTCATTTTAAAAACAATAAACAAGCCTTTCAATATAAGATATAATATAAATGAGCCGTGTCACGACAAAACCAACATAGTGCGTTTGCGACCAGCATGGATCCAGACCAGCCTGCGCATCCGCGCAGTCTGATCAGGATCCATGCTGTTCGCTTACAGACCCTAAAACAAGTAAAGAAACTGATAGCGAACAACATGGGTCCTGATCAGAATGCGCAGGCTGATCTGGATCCATGCTGGTCGCAAACCCATTGTGTTGTTTTTGTCGTGACGCGGCTCAAATGGTATATGATTCGTAGTTTTAATTTAAGCTTACTTCTGAAATTGTTTTGACCAGTCTCTTGATCTTCCGGTATGGTTTGTTGTGCGTCGTATGTCCGGTCAAATTGTATCCGGCGTGGTGTATCAGGGACCGGCGGTGGAACATCGTCCTCATCAATTAGTTCAATTTCCTCTGTGCGTATATTTTGAAGATTTGCGGCGCTGTCTTTTACTACAATGTAATTATTTAAAGATGTATGCATGTGGTTATGTAACAATCTTCCAATTAACGTGTTGATGTATCAATCTTAAAGAAAGCACAAATAGTGTGGGTCCATGTTGGTATTAGTGACTTGCAGAGACCAGATTGAAAGTGATACTTTCATCTGTTCTTGCTTCAGGTTATGCGGCATATATGAGCCGTGTCACGACAAAACCAACATAATGCGTTTGCGACCAGCATGGATCCAGACCAGCCTGCGCATCCGCGCAGTCTGATCAGGATCCATGTTGTTCGCAATCAGTTTCTCTACTTGTAATAGGGTTTGTAAACTAACAGCATGGATCCTGATCAGGCTGCGCGGATGCGCAGGCTGGTCTGGATCCATGCTAGTCGCAAAAGCACTATGTTGGTTTTGTTGTGACGCGGCTCATATACTTTTGGTTATCTTAAACTGTTTTTCATCGCTAATGAATCTGAAGCTTTTATTGGTGGAAGATTTTGCTCAGTACTTACGTTACACTTTTACTACACACCTCATTATACTTACAAAAATATCAGTTTAAAATATCTAAAACTTATTAGTTATAATTATGATTTTCAAATAAAAGAGAAACATGTAAAACAATAACTTCCTCACATCGCTCTGTTTCATCCTTTGCTCTTTCTAATTTAAACAGGTATCTCTTCACAAGACGCTGCATAATGTCCGAATAAGAGGTGTCATCCGGTTTCAATTCAAGTGTTTTACAAACTGTTTCTCGCCGCCTCTGGAAGAAGAAAATATGCAAACCAGATATATAGATTATCGTTTGATATTTTGCACAAAATTTTAAAATTCTTGTAAACCTGTACGTATTTTCTAAAAAATTTGTCATTGTGTTGAGCTGAATTGAAATTATACATTAAATACAGTCGCCGTCCAGATCGTTCTGCGGCGTAGACTTTCTGTGCCTCGGTGTAGACATCCAATATGGCGGCGGAAACAAATTTGTCACGGTATGAAACCGTTTCTTCACGTATTTCTTCCCTTACTTTTAGACACCTGCATATAACTGATTATGGTTAAAGACATAATAAATTTTGTTTTTCATAAATAGGTTTTTAAATTTATTTTTTAACCTATAGCACGCCCGTTTAACTCACAACGAGTGAAAAATGTCCATCGGTAAAAATGTTGTGAGCAACTTCCGTTCCTCGTTGTGAGCACCCATCTATGACGAGTGACACGATAAACAAGGTGAGTTTTTCATAATTTTTGAAGATTACAGCCATTTATGTAAAAATATCGGAATGCAGTTAGCTAGCGATGTGTTTTCCGAGTATGCACATGTAAAGATATTGCCTGTTGGTGGACAATTTGATGGAAATACCGTGCGACGCAGTCACTCGGGGTAGCTGAAAAACTGGAGACAACTTCTCTTTGGACCTAACTTAAAGATCCTGTATGTTTTGTGATTGATATTGTTACTGTCTGTATACCACACTTGCAAAAAAATATATATGTATATAATTATGCAAGTAAAACAATTTTCAAACATCGAAGAATATGTAAAATGTGTACTGCAAATATTTAAGCATATTATATTTAATCAATAAATTATATGCATTCATTTCTTATTGGAAAATTTGACTTAGAATTTATAGAAAATAAATTTCTAATTATCTCCCTTTATTTACATGAAATATTAAAATCGGTAATATCTTTATAAATAATGCTTATTGGAACTTATAATATTGACAAATCTTAATTTGAGCATCATATTTATGAAATAAAACCATGAAAAAAATGTGTTACAGGATCTTTAACATTGAAAACGTCGATTCTGGTGACGTTTTGTGCATTCTAACCTAAAACAGATGCACACAAGTCTTCAGCGTAAATTATTATCTAAAAGTCTTCGTAGAAACGAAGATATACTCTTTTTTGCTTTAATCCTCGTTGTGAGCACCATAACCTCGTTGTGAGCAAGACAAGCGCAGTGCTTGTCTGGTTTTAATATGTAATTCAAATGGCAAGAATACAATTTTCAATCTACCAAAAGCAATCAAAACGTTTTTGTACAATAGTTTTTCTTTGCAACAGTTCTTCTTTTTCTTTTTTTTTTAAATTATTCTTCATATTCACAAGTCATTAGATTAACAGAAGAACTAATCAGTGGAGGTAAATCAGGTATTTTATTTCGTATACTCTAGTGTGGCACGAGTGAACATCACGGGGTGTTTATGAATATTTCAACAATTTCACAATCTGTGTGATACACACATACATGTGTTTATCCTGAGTTGAAGACTGACCAAGTTATGTAAAACAAGAACTATCACGGTAAGTTGACAATGCCCCTGAAGTCGTGCTTTGTCCTTTGATTTATGGACCAGATAGATTATTTTTTTTTGGACAATTAGATCTTCAATGTGAAGGTAATTCAAGGTCAAGGTGAAATAAATATAGGTCAGTTGGAAGGTCTTGTCCAAAGGGGCATTGTGTCCAAATATGAATTAATTCCACTTACTTATAAAGAAGTTATGACCAATGTTCAAGTTTTTGGATGTTCTAGAAGATCATTCACGGTACAAGGTAAAAAAATACAGATCAGTTTGAAGGTCTTGCCTAAAGGGGTGTTGTTTCAAAATATGAGTAGAGTCCGTATACTAATAAGGAAGTTATGACCAATTTTTAAGTTTTTTGGACAATTTGACCTTCAAGGTGAAGGTCATTCAGGGGTCAAGGTCAAAAGAAATAGGATAGTTGAAATGCCTTGTCCAAAGATGTGTTGTGCCTAAACATTATGCCAGGACATTATGGCCAATCTTAAATGTTTTTGGACAATTTGACCTTCAAGGTAAGGCCATTCAGGGTCAAGGTAAAAATATACAGGTCCGTAGGAAGGTGCTAAGGGATGTTGTGTTCAAATATGAATCAAATCCGTTTACTAATAAGGAAGTTATGGCCAATGTTAAAGTTTTCGGACAGATTGACGGACTGACAGACGGACAGTTTCAAAACTAATATGCCTCCCTTTGGGGTATGCACAACGTCTTGCAAAGAAATGCTTCTGTGCAAAAACGTTTTAATTGCTGTGGTAGATTGAAAATTATATTTTCACCATCTGAATTACATATTAAAACCATACACGTACTGCGCTTGTCTTGCTCACAACGAGGTTATGGTGCTCACAACGAGGATTAAAGCAAAAAAGGATAGATCTTCGTTTCTATGAAGACTTTCAGATAATAATTTACGCTGAAGACTTGTGGGCATCTGCTTTAGGTTAGAATGCACAAAACGTCACCAGAATCGACGTTTTCAATGTTAAGTTAGGTCCAAAGAGAAGTTGTCTCCAGTTTTCAAGCTACCCGGAGTGACTGCGTCGCACGGTATTTCCATCAAATTGTCCACCAACAGGCAAATATCTTTACATGTGCATACTCGGAAAACACATCGCTAGCTAACTGCATTCCGATATTTTTACATAAATGTCTGTAATCTTCAAAAAATATGAAAAACTCACCTTGTTTATCGTGTCACACAACAAAGATGGGTGCTCACAACGAGGAACGGAAGTTGCCGATTTTTACCGATGGACATTTTTCACTCGTTGTGAGTTAAACGGGCGTGAATAGCAAGAAAGCTAACTTTTATGTAGACACAAACAATTATTTGAATTTCGTATCGAGAGACGGGCCTTTTAGAACTGCTTTTTTGCTTTTAACTATCGAGAGAAAAAAATAGAAGTTGTTTGTTGTAGCCATTAATGAAACTGTCTGTGGAAATATTGCTAAAATGGTAAGATATAACCAAGAAGTTTTTGGTCAGTTGTATAAATATAAACATACCCTTTAGCTAGGGTATGTCTACCAGTGGACATATCGTTTAAATCCGTAAATTCCATATCATAGCAAGATGGTGTAAACATACCTTGCAGAAAATTGCTTCTGTACCTTATCATTTAGGCATGTAGTTGTGAAGAAAGTCTTTGCTTTATCAGTGGCCACAATCAAAAGTACTTTTTTCAGACTTCATAAAGATCATACATTTTTTTTCCGCCCAATATGATTAGAATAAAATTTACTTATATGAAAGTAGGTCCCGATAAATGACGTCTTTTGCAATAATAAAAACAGCAGCCCTGAAAGGTACGACTCTCGACAAGGAATTCATCCATGGCACGGCAAGTCTACGAAACACTGGGATCACGGCAGCGACTATAGGATTACTGCGCGCAAATAGAGCAATGCAATAGCTTCAATGAAAACGCTTTACAAAACTGTGCATAATGATGAACACGCATTTTGTGCGTATACTTAATATTATCCGCTTACAACATATGTTTCCTTTTTCCAAATTTGATTGTAATTTTCAATTAAAATGTGCATATTCATAAAAGGAAAGGTGATAAGTTCGTACATATTGAATTCAAAAGAATATGACTTTATGTCAATAAGTCTGTAAAAAGATTGATATACATAGTTGTAAATAACAATGTCATTATATATCAGAATCTGTAATGCATTGCTGGACATGATAGAGGCTTTTTTACGTCTTTTACATATACAATCGCAAAATTATACTGACATTTCGTTTGAATTCAACAACACTATAGTGTAATAAGAAAATAAAGAGTTAGATTAAAGAGAATGCAAACAACAATCACGTTTAGTAATAAAACAATCATCACGATGCACATTCTTCTCTAACATATCAAATATAACTAACATATAGCAGATATTTACGCATTGTAGTCATAACATAATTAGAATCACGTGATATACAACGACTATTATAATTAAATCTAAAAAGCACAATTAAAAGCTTGTTAAGATTAAACTATACTTTAACAGTATAACGAATAAGTAAACATTACAAAAATAATTACTGACTGAAGTTGTCATAAATATACATTTTAATGCGCAAAACAACTTTAAAATGACTATCATAATGGTTGTATTTTAATACTAAGCGTGTGATTCACGAAGTATCAGGTCATTTAATGGTGGACATTTAACAGACAGCGTTTTTATTTTATTCAATATCTCAAATAGTATCAATGAATTCGCATGAACTGATTTAGACATTTAGACATCATTCCTTTTATACAATAACCCATAGACAAAATAACATCAATATAAACCATTGATGGATCTCATCAATGTACAATACTTGCATTTAGTGTTTATACAAATGCTGCTATTACCACTTATTGCCTAGTTCTGCAGTTCACACGTATAAATGACAATAAAAATTTTAGTGACACAAAACTGTTTACACATGGTTTAATAAGCAACGTGTATATTTTTTATTAAGTAAAAGTAACAGATTTTATTAGAAACAATATATACATAACCATTTCGATGAATTAATCAATTAAATTATCAATTAAAAGACACGTGTACACGGCTGGTTATATGGTTTGCGCTACGTGCTATGTACCTGAAGACTTGCACTACTCGACTTGAAATTTGATTCCATTTCATGATCTGTCTGTAAAACGAAATAGTTGCAACTAAAAATTTAAATTAACAACAAACAAACGTACATCTGCAACAAACAACAGCAACACAATTTTTATAATTATTAATTCTTGGTCTCCAATGACGCAGTAATCAATGAAACATTGATACCTACATTTATGCTCCAAGATGAAGTTGTTTGTCAAAATATATTTGATTTAATTACAGTGCAACCTACTAAAGTTTGGACAGACACCAATACTTTCAATAAGGTGACCAAGATCAAGTTTAAAATATTTATTTTGTGATAGTGGTCATTACTTTAAAAAAACTACCAACCTACCATAAGTAAATTGGTCGTTTCAAGATTTACCTGACATCTGTTAATAAACGTTAAATTGAACAATAAGAATAAACATGTACTATACATATATAAGTTAGTGACTGTTTGTTAGTATGTAAGACATTCAAACATTCACATAACAAAGTAATAACTTCACATAGCACAATTTCAACGTTCATTATATTCACACAGAAAGAAAAGCAACGTAAGAAGCGTAGGAACTTTTATCATATATGAGATTATAAAGTAAAGAATAAAGTCAGACCAGTTTGAAGAAAAAAACGTTATTTATTTAAAAATATTCCTTATTTGCCATAACAGGAACCTGGTATTGGTAAAATAATTCGTTTAAAGTCACTCATCAACACCTATAAACAATATCAAGGTCGGGAACAGTTTTCGATACTACAAATATTTAAAGTATTTGTCAAGACTAGGTAGCAATGTATAGTAATTTCAAATAACAGAAAGAAAATGAATGTATTGTCTGTGTTTTCTAAAGTTGATAACCTGAAAAGATGAGATGTTTAAAAAATATAGATGATACAGCCATATTACTATATTTCTGAATGTAGCAATGCCAGCAAATCTCTCTGAAAACAAAACTGCATTACACAACAAATAATGCTCAGTAGGAAAAACGCTTTCACTCCTTTTGGCAAATGCTCTTTCACATTTCAAATAAAAAATACAAAACGATCTAGTTTCTAATGTCATTTAAACGAAAAACGAAAATTTATTTATAAAGAAAATGCCACATTCAAATATATTTTAAACAATCATTTTCACCCTCTTTTACAGTATTTGGTAACACAGACTAATAGTATAAATTCATTGAACATGGAGAATATTAAACTGAAATACAGATGGTTGTAAGGATAAAAAACGAATATAATGAATGTCCATGTATAAACACAGGAACTTCAGTTTTATAAATGTTTTGTTTGGATGGTATTAAAAACGTCTTTTGTTGATGACGATGTTTACATATACTAGTTTAGAACATGGGCAATCCGTTCCTTGTTTGTTCTGAAACCTCTTGTATTGAATATTTAATTCTTTAGTCAGACATCCATTGTCTATTTCTCAGCAATCTACGTGAGGATATGCACACTTCAAGCAAACATCTGCGATCCTTCACACGCTGGATACTAAAAGATCAGTAACATAGGAAGCTTGGAATATGTCGAAAGAAACTTGGTTGAATCCGATCAATGATACAGAAATACTTGAAATCTTCACTGCAATGTTACATTCTCTGTTGAGAAACTAGAAAGTTGATATCTTAACTGTAATGGCTCATTCTATAGTAAGAAACAAGAGCAGTTGATCTCTAAACTGTAGTCGTTCCTTCTGAGGTAAGAAATAAGAGTATTTGTTGTCTCCACCGAAGAGGTCTATTCAGCAGGGTTGTTATTATTTTCACTTCCATGATACATTCTGAGGTAAGAAACAGGAACAGTTGATATATGCAGTACAATGGCCAATTTTGTGAAACATGAGCAATTGATATTTGCACGGCAATGATCTATTTTTTGGTTAGAACCAGGAGCGGTTGATATCTTCACTGCAATTGTTCATTCTGTGGTTAGATATCTGCACTGTTATTGCCCATTCTGTTGTAAAAGTCAGGAGCAGTTGATATCTGCACTGCAATAGTTCATTCTGTAGTTAGATATCTTCACAGTAATGGCCCATTCTGTGGTAAGAAACAGCAGTTGATATCTGCACTGCACGAGAAGGATGTTTCCACGGCGCCACGATTACTGCCCTGTAGCGCCCATGAAACACCTTTCTGGTACAGTGAGTGCAAAACCATCCTAATTTAGTCGCTTTTATCCGTAGGCACCAACAAAATTCCATTTGATTTCCTCAATGATACATAACGGACATCAATAACTCTTGTCGGAATTAGCCAAACATTTTCTTAAATGCTGAAGTCAAAATTGCACATATTGAACAAACGTATTTTGTTAATGGCATCATTCCAACCTAAGCGGAAAAAACTAGGTACCTACCATTAAAACATTCATCCTGACATTATTGTTCCAAGTGCTCTGAAAAGGGAAATAATCTAAGTACCATTCCATTGTATCAAAGGATATAAATCAATCCTCTTTCAATCAATAAATGAGCCGTGTCATGACAAAACCAACATGATGCGTTTGCGACCAGCATGGACCCAGACCAGCCTGCGCATCCGCGCAGTCTGATCAGGATCCATGCTGTTCGCTTACCAACTCTATTACAAGTAGAGAAACTGATAGCGAACAGCATGGATCCTGATCAGACTGCGCGGATGCGCAGGCTGGTCTGGATCCATGCTGGTCGCAAACCCACTATGTTGGTTTTGTCATGACACGGCTCAAATACTTTAATGAAATAAAAAACATAGCAGATAAATCAATAATCAGTCCCTGGTCGATAGAATATCATCTTCCTTTCTCGAGATGCCAATTCTTTCGTTTGTTACCAGAACAGACATTTTTCTTATTGTTTTCATTGAATTCAAATCAACAATGTTCATATGCTCAACATAACAAATATGACATCAACAATACACAATGACTAGACTTCAACAACATGGCCTACTAGTACATAAACATTCATGCATCATAATCAAAACTTACCTTGATAAATGTTTTTCTTATTTTTCGTTCGTACTCTCTTTTTCCGTTTTTGTTTCCTATGCACAAATCTCTTGCACACTTCCACAAATAACAGAATGATTTCGGAGAAGGAATCATGTTGAACGGAACAGGTAAAGTACTGCCGTCATCCATATAATTCATCCATAACTTTGTTCTAGCAAACTTCCACTCTACATCACAGTCACCCTGTAAAGCATATCGTTCTAAAATGTTCATATGTAAGATTTATGAATAAAATAACTGCTTTATTATATGAGCCGCGTCATGACAAAACCAAGATAATGAGTTTGCGACCAGCATGGATCCAGACCAGCCTGCGCATCCGCGCAGTCTGATCAGGATCCATGCTGTTCGCTTACAAACTCTATAACAAGTAGAGAAACCGATGGCGAACAGCATGGCTCCTGATCAGACTGCGCGGATGCGCAGGCTGGTCTGGACCCATGCTAGTCGCAAACTCATTATGTCGGTTTTGTCAAGGCGCGGCTCATATATAGATATAACATGCAATGTTATACTGTCATTTGCACTTTTTTTTCAAAACATCAAATTTAATGAAACGATAATTGGAACTATAAACGCACATCTGGGGTTGCTAAAATTAATGTCATAGTTGTTTGCACATGGTGCATTTATGATAAAACGGTGCTTCAGAACATGTGCAGTATAACGTATCCTTATGCAAACTTACATTTCTATATGTCTTTGATAATAATGCGCATTTATTGTATTTGAAAATCTTTTTATCTTTGAAAATTTCCTAGATCTACTTACAATAAATTCATGTTAAAGTTAATGAAACATTGACATATAAGGATAGTTCAATTTCTGATTCTTAATATACATCCATATACCTATGGCATTATAAATACCAAAGAAATTCAACTCATGACAAAGAAGAATGTATGTTTAAAGCTAAGTCAACTGAATAGATTTACAACGCATAAGAATAATATTGTGTTCTAGAAGATAAAAGATAAATTGTTAAAATTCATTTCTACAATAATTTGAAAAGTCAGTCAAAACAATAATAATGTTGCGCAGAATTATGAATTTGTTAATGTTTCAGTTAGGATAAGGATGACATATAGACTCTTGGCTGTTGAGATATACAGATCCATCTTCTATCGCCATGGGTTATGCCTATCTCAATTAGGAATTATCGCCTTCATCAACTTATACCTTATAAACAAGATGAAGAGCATATAAACAATATTTAATAACTGAGGGGTAATGAAAGTAAAATGGAGGAAGAATACATGTATGTCTTACTTGTATAGCTTCGAAGGAATGACTCATCATGGCAATCAGCATGTTGATAAGAACGATAATTATCACCACATGGTAAATTCCAAAGAGAAAAAGACCAACCCCTTCCACAATGTCAGTACTGCTCTCTGTCATGGCGGATCCTGGGCCCTGTCCAGCGCTGAATACTAAAACCAGTCACTTTATTTCATTTTTATCCTCAAAAGAAATATATTGCTGTATGTGTACGTATTTTTGTAGCTAGTTAAATAATTTTACAGACTTAAACATTTTCCAAATTTAGTAAATGAAAAAGAAGACATGCTCAATGTTTTATAAATTTAAGATTGATTAAAAAAAATCAAATTGCTTAATGCAGCCAATGGTACAACATTAAAAGCAAAACAAAATGCTACCGTTTTTTGTCAATATATTGACAACACGTGACCAAAGAGAGACTTCTTTGTACTGTATTAAAAGTTTTAAAGTTTTGGAAGTAATAATTTGAAATAATTCAGTTCAGACAAATCAAAACGTCAGAATAAATTATGTCTTGGTAATATTAATACAGAAATCCTAAAAAAAATACCGATATGTTTTTATGACGACGTTTGGCATTTAAAGGTTAGTAAAACTTTTATAAAAATGATCATTCCAGATTAGTTCTAAAGACTCTTGCTTGAACTATTCCTTATTATAGTGTAGTAGATGTTGGTAATGACCATTATAATACTATTAAGCATCATAAGCTAACAAATTAATAACAAAATGCAAATTGTTAAATATTCAAAATAAGTTCTATATGCACTATCATTGCTAATACAAATTAAATTGATTTTATACGTTTTTCTTATTATTCCATGAGTGCATCTGGAATATGTAAAAAAGTTATATATTGCAGAGCAAGAGACATAAAGAATTTATTACAAAGACATTTACAATCAGGTTAGTGATGTTACGTTGCAATGAGAAATAGGAAACATAACACAACCAAAGCATGAACTACATTGTCCTAAGACCATGCATTTATACCTGCCCTGGAACCGTTTTTGATCGGCCCATCTGTACAAAGGATTTTGTTACGTTCACTATCCATGAGCATACACTGACGAACTGAGCGTGCATGAGGAAACAAGTGCGAGAATGTTGAGAGTGCATGCATTGTTACATCACAGTTGAAAAAGCTTATTTACACAGTTACACTTTTTTATTCAAAATTTTGGTTACATTTTTTATTCCAAATTTTTTGAATTTGTTGAGGTTTACTTAAAGTGGTAAACCTTTATTACGATCTAAACATGATAACGAAGTAAAGCTGCTGGTGTGTAACAAGGTTTAGATTTTTCTTCTCACACATATTGACTTCTTAAAGATGTTATTCAGTCAAAGTGATTGCTCTTGATAATGATAACAAAATGAGTCAGGAAACTTAAGGGTAATTTTACGGTAAAGTTTGTCGTTAAAATTCAAGAATTTGAATCAACTCAACTACCACCTACATGAACATAGGACGAACATCGTGTTTGAAAGTTCAAAAAGTGGTGTATGACAAAGATCATTTTTTGTACTATGTCTTTCTTATATGTTTACAGAAAACTAGTTTAAAAACTTTGAGAATAACCTGACAATTAAGTCGATTTGACAAAAAATGATTAAATGGAAAAATGAATGAATATGTGGTGTTTATAGTTGCGGCAGGTATTTGTCAGGGTATTTTTCTGTTAGAAATAAATCGGGGAAAGTAACAGAGCTGCAGAATCATTTGGGTTTCTTTTATAAAAAAGTGAAACAAAAACTTCAACTTAAAATAGAAAAAGGATCAGGTGAAGAGAAAGAGGGTGCAAATGACAATATTCTATTCGCAAGACCATCGGTAACTTCAACAATTTAATCTTTCATCAGAAGTTATATGAAATAAAGAACATGCTATGTGCAGTTATATGGTTATATGAAACAAATGAGAATATTCAAAATATTAGAAATTAGTTTATGAGGTTTTTGGTTGTTTGATTGAATACTGTTTTATTTTGTTAGCTGTTACCATGTTACCAATACAACGCCGTTTTAACTTACTTATTCTATTTAAATTAGTGGAGCCCTGACCCTTGTTGAAGACATACTCTAACATTGAAGAAAAATACATATAAAATTTAAAGTGACATTATGCCCATCTAAGTGTAAATGGTTGATGTACAGGTCAAAGTAAAAATAACTTTAGATTTTGCTATGTTTGTTTTCATTGTTTTATAGTCTAGTTCATGTGTATCATCAATAACTCTTGTGACTAACAGAAAATTCTTTAGATATCCTTCGAAATGTTAACGTTCAAAATATAAAAAAGAGTGGGGCAGTCATTTTCATTTAAGGCAGTTGTTATAGGTTATCCTAAATATATTCTATTATATATAACTGGTCAATGACCATTATAATAGTCAATCTTTTTAAATATGTAACCTATTCAGCTCAACTCGACAACAAAAGATTGAGTACAATGTCACTTTAAAATGAAACTTTACATCAAAAATTAAAACATATTGTAAAAAATGGCTTATATGAAAATGGTTTATTTCAATATTAAACATATTTATGCATATTTGACATTGTAGTAGTACATTATTTCAGGAACTGTTTATTGTTTTATGATACATTCAGCTACATTCTGTACAACATTATTATAATGTTGATCACTTATGTTTGAATTACTGAATAAAATATGTTTAGATCAAAGCAATTTTAAACGTATATTTTTTTATTATAAATATAGGGTAAGACTAAACTTTGATTGCAAGAATGGAAACATAAACTAAAAGTGACATGACAAATAATGACATAAATTTGTACACTCACCTCCTCCAGGACCCGGATGTTTAACGTTAATATCTGTAATGCTTACTTGTCCAAATATTGACCAAAATAAACTGTAAAAGGTCTGCTTTAGTCTGAAATAACACAATCTCATAGTATAATAAATAGTTGTGAGGCAGTCTGAACAAAATGCTACAGAAACATGAATAATAAAACGCGTGTTTCAGTCTGAAACACCATCTCACAGAACAATAAATACTTATGTTTCAGTCTGAATATGTTACAGAAACTTGAGTTTCAGTCTGAAACATGAGTTTCAGTCTGAAACATAGTACAGTAAATAGTTATGCTACAGTCTGAAAAAATGTTACAGAAACTTGAATAATAAAACTCCTGTTTCAGTCTGAAACATAGTACAATAAATAGTTATGCTAGTGTGTCTGAACGAAGTGTTACAAAAACTTGAATAATAAAACGCCTGTTTTAGTCTGAAGTAACACATCATAGTACAATAAATAGTTCATGCTGTACTACAGTCTAAATGAAATGTCAAAGATTTTCTTATGGTATAACGTCTGCTTCTGTCTAAAATTATAAGAGGAAAAAGAAAAAAAGAAAAGAATGCCTGCTTCAGTTAAAAATGAGTTATCACAGTAACAAAAAATAGCACGACCTCTGTTCAAGTCTGAAATTACATCAAATGAATCTTCAGATCAAAAGTTATTTTGTACTGTTAGAGTTAAAAGTAAATGAATTATTAACATCAGTTTCTGTTGAAAACAAAGTATTATTGTAAGAATTCTTCACAGCAGAAAGTGCCATATTCCACTAACAAATCTCATTATAAAATATTGCATACTTATGTGATCATACTTTATATTAAGATAGAAATTTATCTAAAAACAGGCCAAAGCATTGAAATCTGGATGTATAACGACATATGACTTTAATAACTGTATAATTCAATCGTTTAGAATGTGTACACATACCCTTGGAATGCTTCCGCTGCGTACACGAACACTGTATGTCCGTTCATGGTCATTTTTATTCGCTGCGTACCATAATACCAATACAGATTATGAAGTCCAACCATGAACGAGAACAGTACCTGTAAACAAAATAGTTCATGGTCAACATTCAGCAGGTAAAGGGTTAACCATTTTTCATACACAAATCTCTAGTAAAGATGTAGGTATTAAAGACGGCATTACATTAATGTATGAACTAAATTTTTATAAACATAAGAAATGAATAAATAAAGAATTATTATAACAACAAGATACTAGTATAATGTATGTTAAAAATTGAATGTTGATCCCAAAAACCAAAAACCAAAAAGATTAGCCTATACAATGACATGTGTACTCTGTCTTGCGATAACTAGCTTCTTTTACATTTTCTTGTGCTAATAGGAAAATTGTTTTTGTACTTTGTAAATCTTATAAAAATAAGTAAGATCGCCGTGTTTTTCTTTCATGGTGACAATATATCATAATGAGAGGATATCAAAATGAGATCATATCGTAATTTAGAAGATATCAAAATGAGAGGATCTCGTAATGAGAGGATTTCAAAATGAGATGATATCAAAATGAGAGGATCTCGTAATGAGAGGATATCAAAATGAGAGGATATCAAAATGAGTGGATATCAAAATGAGAGGATATCAAAATGAGAGGATATCAAAATGAGAGGATATCAAAATGACATTATAGAAACAATGATATCAAAACTGACCAGTGTGAAGAGCACCATGAATCTAGTGATATCACCGATCATTCTGCCGAGTGATATCTGCAGAGGTCCGAGTACCTCGAACGCCGGCATGAGGTAGGTAGTACGGGCAAAGCTTATCACATTAGCAATGGCAAACAAGACATCTGAAACTATCTCAGGGTCGTCCATCTTCCACTTGAAACGAGCTGAATAATGTGAGATAAAGATTACGTGTTGTAAACACAGTATGGTTACCTTAAAGCCTCTATATTTTGATTACCTTAAAGCTAATTATGACTTAAGATGTTATGAAACAATTGTGTTAAAGTGTCTCCCTTTTTTATAATAAATTAAGGGGAGATTATTACTGAACTAGTTTCGCCACAATAAAGACGGAGTTATCACTGAATTTTCTTTTCTTTGACTAGATCTACTTCAGCAAAACCCTTGTACAGAATTAAGTCTACAGAAAGTATATTTCTTGTCTTACAGTATATATTATATGAAAGTAATTCAAGATATTGTATTCACATAACCTAATACATTTATGATACAGTACTCCTTTTATTTAAATATTTCAAGAAGAAAGGTTTTATTTGTTTGATGTGTATATTCCGATCGTATAAAATTGTAAAGTAAATGTTTAAAGTAAACATTTTTATCATAAATCAAGCTTCAAATTTACATATATTGATATATGTATAATGGAGCGCACCAACGCATGAAATATAAACTCTCAATTCAATTTTGCAAAGGTAACAAAACCATATTATTTGAACGTAAAATGTCTGTCTAAGACATTACATAAGAAACTAACTGGCAGATGCATGCATTTGCAACAATCCTATGCTAAAAAACGAGAAGAAAATAATAATTCATAAGTTACTTAGAACATTTATCAAAGCTGGCATGATATGTCAAAAAAATGATAACTGTATTAGAAATTCACAATTTCCACATCTGTCATTCTCTGATATATCTGACGGAAACTATGACGTATATAGCAGACCCAGTAAATTGTGAACCACAAATAAAAGGCGATATAAAAACGCTATAATAGCAGCTTTAAATTAAATGAAAAGTTAGTCAGCTATCTGCGTTTTCATTGAAATATCTGACATTATATTATAATTGATATGCATTTTGAAAGTATGTGAGTCCTACTCGAGGCAATGTTAATGTACAAAAAAGTAGAAAATTATTTCTCAAAAAGAAATTGTCAAAAAATGATATTGTAACACAAATCGCTTACATGCTTCCATAAAATAGTTTCTTGGATGATTTTTGGAATCTTTGATTTCATCGAGCAATAAGTTGAAGTGTGAGTAATTTCCCTGCAATAACAGGGTACGTGCCCGTCTCGTACCATTGAAATAACTGCAGAAAACAACAACATAAATGACGTGCACAGAATATCACACGATAATCACTAAAATCTTATGAAATTGTAATATATTAAAAAAAAGTTACTGATCTTAAATGTTGTGTTTTTAAAACAATGTTGGAATTTATGGAATGATAGATTGTTTAAGATTATAGTGTATTAAGATTATCTTTAACTTGAAAATTGTCAATAGAATAAGTATCAAAACAAATTACAACTTCGTGATCATTGTCATTTAAGTCCTAAGATTCGCCTTGGTTGTCTGCACTGTTTGTTATTCAGTCAGCACAAGGTTTGACCTATTATCTACAAATGAAGATATGAGTGGTTATGTCAAGATTATAAGATTGACAATTCCAGTCAAGATATTTAACGCTGGAAAGGTTAATCTACGTCAGACTCAGTATCATGTTTTTTTAGAAGTGCCAAACACTAACGTGTTACTTTGGACTTACATGACATATTCTTTATTCAGATTGGATAAGGATTTACGTGTCGGCGTCTAATACGACATATTCTTTTGACAGATTGAATTAGGACTTACGTGTCGGCCTCTCATAGACAAATCGATTAAACAGATTGGATTAGGACTTACGTGTCGGCGTCTGATACGACATATTCTGTAAAGAATCGCAGGACGTAGGACGCCAAGTACATTGATAATACACTGTAGTCCATAAAATTATAGTAATTTGTGAAGTAAGACAGACCCCCTGAGCCGTATATCTGTTTACACTCTATCCACAATAAACCTGCAACATAAAGTTATTATTTTATATATTTGTTATTGCTGATACATTAAAACGCTTAGTATGGAGTACAAAGCTGTGAATTGTGGTAATAACTTTTATTTATTGTCATTTCTATTAGTATTTTCCTGTTCCAAAAGTTTGTTTAAAACACACAAATGTTTTGAAAACTTAAATATAACTGGTGTAAGAATTAGGTTCGATTGCAATGAGTACACCACCTTAATTACGTGCGAATTAACAACGGCATTTAAAAAAAATAGAGTTCTTTTCATTTAAAGCTTATTTATCTAATGGTACTACAAAAAATGTTACGCTTCGTGGCAAAAAAGAACGTTTTAACCATGGATAAACGAATTTTATTATAAACCTTTATTCAAGTTACAACAAATTCCATAACAAGTTTTAATATTGAGGACAAAGAAGAACTGAAATTAGATTTCTCATACTGAAAAGGTCGGCATATTAAAAATCTCAATTCATTGTAGGTTTAATTTTGTACAGTATGTGAGTAAAGATATTCCAAGAAAACGTCATTCGCCATAATATAAATGTAAAAATTACTTCCCGGCGTTGGTAATGTTTAAATCATGGGTGCAATTTCCCAATTGAAAATCCATTCGTTTGCATTTCCTAATACATTTCGTCGACAGAAAGCAGTTCAAACACAATTACGTTAAATTTTCAACTGTAAATCGGACGTCGGGCTTTATTGGGAAATATCGCATAAATGTCTTTTTGATGGAAAAAATGTGAATTGCAATGCAATTTCGCTATATTCATTTCCCATTGTGAAGATTTCCACTCAAGATCAATATCGTAAATTGCTTCCTTGGAAAACTTGACCTTAAGATTGACAATTCAACCTAAGCATTTCCTTGAAGTTATGAAACGGATATTATATTATGTATTTGAGCCAATCTGTTTGTAGCCAGCTTTAATACAAATATTGTTATATTGTTGATGTTTAAATTTTCGATGAAATATTGGAAAACATGCAGTATTGAGTCATTAGAATTATTGAATGCCTAATGCATTTTTATTATTTTATGTATAAGATTTTGGTAAAAGTATTAAAATTCCTGATTATCATACACAAAATTTCACAAAAATGTACAAGAACTCATTCATGAATTTAAGGTCGTTGTTTCGTAAACAATGTATTGAATTCAATGGTTTGTGTAGACTAATAACTATATTTAAAACAAAAACCTAAATCCCTAATGAACTCCGAAAAGGGGAAAATAAAATATCTTGCAGGACCGGTTTGACCAAGCCTGTTCACGGAATGTGGTGGTAAATGCAAAGCTAACGTCCTCGCACCCTAGCACCGCACCGGTATTAGATACAACTTTTTAGAAAAAGTGTTATATATGCATAGAGACCATAGTGAAATATCAAATATGTTTATATACGGGAAGTCTTTTTCTGTTAAGAAATGATAAGGTGCATTTGAGTTGCGTTATCTAACAGAGTATGACCGCTCTAAACTATTTTTTTCAGTTAATTCTGTTATACATGTACACCAAGGATACAGAAAAACAGGTCGATAACATTAATAAAGTAAGTAAATATATCGTCTAATTCTCTAGAATCACAGAGGGCAATGTCCAATCATTTGCATCTGAACTTTGACACGATGTCAACCAATCACCGCTAGCGTCTCTAGTTAACACTATGTAAATGATTGGTTTAAGTTAATAACATCGGACAGGTTTGCGCTGGGTTTTTCTTTTCCTTAGCCAAAGAAGACGTTATAGTGCTTTAATGTTTTTATTTCTAAACTCATCATCACCCGACCCATTAATCTAGTAAATTTTTAATCTTTGCCGCGCCCAAATACTAAAAAAACATGTAAAACGATTTAGGAATTGTATTTAATTAAGTATGCATGTGTTTTTTAAGTTGACCCCTTTTCTGACATTTATCTTCTTTCATAAATCATGTATACTTTGGAATACAAAAATATTACAAATAGATAAAAGGGGTTGAATAAATTATTTTTGTATCATTTACTATTATTTAAACTAGACTTGTACAACAACTTTTGCGTTAGAGAGTGTTTCTCATGGACTTGTTATATTTTACATACTACTGTTCGTAATGAACATTAGAAAAGCTTGTATTGTAAGATGTTGGCATGTGCTCCGAGTTATACCATACTTTTGGGACTAAACTACAACATTCAGCTTACGCGCATGTGTGCCGCGACTTGTGGTATGGCTTCATTTATGATTAACAAGTAGATTAAACCCTCATTAAATGCACACACAGAGAGATTGAACAAAACATATAGTGTAATTATAATATATTGATATAGCACTTACCTAATATCCAAAATACAATACAAATTTGTACATGTGTTAATAAGGTGCTTGCTGGTCTCAGTGTTTCCTTTAATAAACTCTCAATCTTCTCTTCTCTAAAACAAAAACAAACTTCACGTGTAACACAAACGTGACAAATGCACGTGACATGTCATAAATATAACAAAATTCTTATCGTATTAATAGTCTTGGCAAAAACGCCTAATTTTCACAGCCACGTATGACAATCTTGTAAACGTAATATTTCATTTTCAAATAATTCAAATGATATTATTATAGTAAGGCAAAGATTTGAACGTTAGCCTGTTATGTGTTTGTTTGTTTTGTTTGTTTGTTATTTTTTGTTGGTTTTTCTTGTTGGTGTCTTTTTTTTGTCTCTCTTTTTTCAGCTAAATAACAACTTTTTTATAAGAATTGTAGGAAGGAAGAAAATATAGCCGTAAATATAACAACATAACTAGAAATCACCGATGCTTATATAAAAGATTGACAACATATAAAAGAAGAACTACAAATCTTATCATGAATCCCCGTCTCTTCTGGTTAATTTTGACATTTCAGACGTAACATTTCATAGTAAAATCATTGTTAAATGATCTAGAATGATCTATTCGTCTAGCCAGAAATCAAATGCAACAATAAAACCCCGCTTGAATAACATATTGAAATAGGGGAAATTACGGATACAATATCCAACCGTATATGTCGTATATCATTTAAAGAAATATCGAATTCTTACGTTATTTCATTTCACAGTACAGGAACAGCACAGGAATTTCTTTAAATATGATTGCCATTCTTCTGTCTTGAACGATCAATCTCTTATTTAAATTTATTTAAGATGTTTAAATGACTATCGTTAAAAGTAAGATCAACCCTATACTATAAAGTCTTCGGAATAGCAAGTGGTAAAATAACGGCCTCTATGATATAAAACAATACTTATACGATACACAAATATTTTAGATACATCCCGAAAGTATATGATAACTCTGAAGTACCTAAATCAGCTTCTAATATACCCCTGTGACATACTATCGCACGGAACTACTTTTTTTGGAAGAGATCACTACGATATATAACATAAGTTCACAACATCAACTATGTTTGTACTATATCCTTGAAATATATATATCAGCAATCAACTTCGCATTATAACTTTGAGATACACAATAACTCTTCACTACATACAACACTTTTGAAATATAATTATACTGTACATAAAACCATAAAACCTAAATGTAGTTTTCGAAAAGAAAATCTGTGTAAATTATCTGAAAAATCGCCAGAAAGTGAAACAAGCATTTCTATTGGCTAATGCTGCTCAAATTGATAGAATCCGATCATAGATTGGCTGGTCCAAATAAGGATGCTGAATCTAACTATTAGTAACGAAAATATAAAAAAGTAAGGAATAATTAAAATAGCAAAAAAAAAAAGAATTATGTTAAGTATTAGGATTCAACAACATAACTTATTTATGACTGATGACGTAAAATACATTTAATAAACAATATAAATATAACAGCAATTAACTATCAAATATTTTTTATATAACCTTGTGACAGCACAAAATTCAGTGTACTTCTCAGTTGAGAGACCCGAACTTACTCAGTAAGATGGGAGTAATGTGCGTCTTTCATGTCCCTGGTTGACCGTATAGAGACATTACCCTCGGACAGCCGGAATGTGGCTACAGCAAGTAATATAAGGAAACAAATATGGGAAGTTGTGTGAGTGAAGAACTTTGTCACAGGACATCGCATAATGGAACCAAGCTGAAAAAATATTACTTTTATTATTATTATTATTATTATTATTATTATTATCATTATTATGATAATTATTATAATTATTATTTTCATTTTCATTTTTATTATTTATTATTATTATTATTATTATTATTATTATTATTATTATTATTATTATATTATTATTATTATTATTATTATTATTATTATCATTGCTTTCATTTTGTTTTTATTTCTTATTTTAGGTTTAATTAAAGATAATAACTGATACCATGGTCTCCTAGCCTAAATAATGTCTGCAATGTAATCCGAATAATGATAACTGAAAGTGTAATACTAAATGCCGATGATTTAAACCAATAAATAAATACATGTATATTTCCATTCATATTTTTCATATTTATATTGTATTATTGTATTGCCAAGTACATATAGCTGTAGTTATAGACAGAAATTCTAAAGACATAACAGTTCATACCTTTGAATTAGGAAAAATAACATAAACTGCACACAGAAATGGTATAGCTGGCAGGAATAAGATAGCATAAATACTCTCTCTTAGCCAGTTAAATGACTGAAGGAAGCCCATCTCTGAACCGTACCATATACTGGTCATATGTTGCTGACAGTTCGGATGAGCAACAAACTGAAATATGAATAACAACAACTATGTAATAGATATAGCCTATAGTTATAAAGTAATTGTTTTAATTGATCAAACTATAGTAATATTGTTGTGCAAATTGTCAAAATGTCAGTGTACAAACAGGGTCTTTCAAATAGAAAGACCCTGGTGCAAGTCAAAGGAAATTTGACAAACTATGTACGGAATGGAACAGCACGGGTTTTGTGAATGGATATAGCCTTTTATTATCAAAAAAGAAAATACTAAATATGAACTCACTACATTTATACGGGAATGTTATACATAAAATATATTATATACTAAAGAACTCAGCCGGAAATTATTTAGTACGGTTCTACATTGTAACTATTTTTCTAATCATAATTGTCCTGAAATCACAAGTTAAGGCAACTCTAGCACATAGCCAAATTAACAACAATAACAATATATAAAGTAACTTTATTTTAAATTGTTTTTTATTTATTATTATTATTTTATTTTTATTTTTTTTGCTTTTTAAACTATTGTTCTTGTTGTTTTTATTTTCTAAATATTTTATTAGACATAAATTTCTTTTGCCCAAATGTCATATGTGTAAGTATGATTGTTACAGATATAGTCCGCGACTATATCTTATTTTAATCAATGAATCTTAGCTTCTAATACCAAACGAAAACAAGCCAAAGCAAATAAGAATAATCAAAACAGTAAACGTTTGATATTCCTTCAAATACTGTCAATCTTCAATGACGAATGAATTGACTGACGTCAACAGAAAATGGAAAACTCTCAATGTTTTGAAACAAGCTACTGGCATATAAGAGCAATGCCCCTAAATGTTTATATATATATATCAAAGTGGAAAGTCTTCTCTATTTAAGAAAAAGAAAACAGCATTTTTTATTCCGTTGTATAAAAGAAATCTTTGCATGTGTACTTCTGAGTTACTCATATTCTATATGAAAATTAGGCGATAATGATAGCAAAAGCTAAATGAAAGAATCCAGAAAGTGTTTATTATTCAGTGTGTTATATACACCTTGCGTTCTTTTTAAAACCGTTACTAGTCTGGGTATTTTGAAATGTATCTTAATTTAAATTATTCTTCACACAAAATTAAAACATGTTTGGTTCATGACGTTCTCTTATTTTTATATTCATTTTTGTTTGGACGAATTCCAAGAAAAAAAGAAATATCGGATATTTTATTGTTTGATTTTGCTTAATGAACGAATACTGAATGGCGATGAATTGTTTCAAGATTAAACATTTTTAATTGTTTTATAATGTTCACTGTTTAAAGTAATCCTTTTCGATTTTTAAATATCTATTAAACTAGATTGTTTAAAATTCGTCAATAAATGACAAAACAATCTCAATAATACAACTTTTAACTTAGATACTAAATACTTTTTTGATAACTTGGAATCTCTAAATGTAATATCGTCTGCTCTTTTATTCAATTATACAAAACAAGATAACCGCTTTAAAGCATCAATTAGATTTGATTACCTCCAATAAACCGTAAATCATAGCATAAAGGTGACTGAGAAGTTAAGCGTTTCCTTCGATTTGTAAGGTCTTTGACTGCAAGCAACACTGCTTGATTTATTGATTCAGTGCAATTTATGAAAGCGAGAGCGCATGCAGTTATTGCTTCCTTTATTAATTGGTCTTACACTCCAAGTGCCTTCATAACTCATTTTAATTGATACTTTTTTCGACGCGAAGACTTATAACTAGGAAATCAATGACTGCAGACGACATGGGTTGGAAATCTGCACTGTTTGTTATCATTTGTACATTTGATTTGTATTATATCAATAATAATAACTAATTTTATTGCCATACCTTTTTCTCCTGATACCGGATAGCCATCTTTAGCCTGGCTAGTGGATCTCGCTTGCCATTGTCAGAACAACAGTCACTGCCCTCACTAAGAACCGCCTCAACCTCTTGTGTTCCACGACATAGGTCCATCAATTCACACGCAAAATTCATACATTTCTCAACCAAGCTGAGGTATTCGCTCTGTTGAAAGTTGATAGATTTTCATTAAAAAGAATTATACAATAATGTATATAATATGTCTAACATAAATATATATATATATATATATATATATATATATATATATATATATATATATATATATATATATATATAAATATATATATATATATATATATATATATATATATATATATATATATATATATATATATATATATATATATATATATATATATATATATATATATATATATATATATAATCGGCAAAAGTGATAAATAAAAACACTTACTGAAAGGCAATGCTTGATATCTTAATCAAACAATTTCTGAGATGATAAAAGAAGAACTATATTTGATCCTAGTAATATAAAATAGAGGTAAGTTGTTCGTTATTGTTTCTAAAACTTTTGAATGGAACTTAACATAAAAATTGTTTTGCAAAATTTAATAAATTGATTTACATTTTTTGATGTTTTATATATCTTATTTATATATCTATTTTTTGTAAAATACGATATTGCGCGTTTAAATTATTTGACAATATTTTACTTAAAAAAATCATTTTAATGCGCATGCAACATTCTAGCTTCTTATGAAATTGTCTTAGAGTAAATTTCCTACCATATTAAAAACGCTCACAATATCCATTAATACATAAATTAACTTTACAAACATAAGCATTACATGAGATGTTATGAATTAATAAAGAAAAATATTTTATCTAACTTACAAGATTTGAATGCTCTTGCGCACAAAGTGTGTTTGCTTAATTCAAGTCGCGCTGCCCTTTATATTGTTAGAACCGGAAACATGTAAGTTTGCTTAAAGTTCGGGTGGCTGAATGAATATACTTTCAAATTATTAGAAATTTTATACGACGCTGATTGCAAACTTAGCATGCGAATGAGCAGTTACCTAAATGAAATTGCGGAGTTGTTTCATGACTATATGTCTAATACACGTTGTCTTACGTTATGTCAACATCTATTTAATAATTATCTTAATTATAAGTAAAGAAAACAAATTTGTAATCTTGTAACACGTAAGCATATTTTAGTTGTATGACGCAGTTAACTACGGCATTACATGGTTCTATTGCAGTTTGAGAAATACTAAAATTACAGATAATATATTTTTATTTCACTAAATTATCGGGTTTGACTGGTGTGCGTGACAAGCAAAGAAATATTGTATTTCAAAAACAAGTAGGTAATGTGTCACATATAATTAATGTTCTGTCTTTTGGAAGGATTTGATTATATGCCTGCTTTATATCACGTCATTTATAATTACTAATAAATACAACGAAAATGATCAGTGGTGAACGCCCCCCTTCTACTAATACGCTTTAGATAAAGGTATAATTATTTGTATTCCTTATGTTATTATTATACAATTATATATGTAATTAAACCTCAAATGTAATGTCTACTTTTTTAGATTTTAGAAAAGGGGAGTGTGAGGAGAAAGGGACGCGAAACACTCCTTAAAAATGTTACATAAATTAAACAGAAAACAAATAACAACATCAGAAACTTGTATTTTGAAAACTGTTAAATTTAAATTCATTACTTGTATTTTGTTATGATTGTTTTATATTAATGTACATGTGTTATTTAATTTTGGACAAATTCAATAAAATAGCAAATAAACTGCAAGCGGTGAGTGAATATGAGGAGGCAAAGATGTATTGCAAATATAATACTTGCATTCAAACATGAAAATATATTTAATAGTTTGTGACCAAGTAAAATACTAGAAAGGTTTAAAACAGATGAAATATAAACATCATTGATTTGATATTTTCTGAAATTTTATACATTTTGATTATTTTAGATTGTGGTCTTCTATCCATTTCGTACGTTGTTTAAGACTAATAGCACGTTTTCACTTAATTATGACGTAATTAAGGGCATCATATTGCAACCAACACATATTTTTTTCATATTTTATTTCTGTTTGCGTGCCTACCGTCTGCTTAAGCCTGTTTATTAATTTTGATATTTGAAGAAGTATGAACTCAAATTTACCTTTGTCTGAGCGCTTTTATGCGTATGTTCTTTCAGCTAGACCCCTAAACACAACAAGTAAATTATCAATAAAATGAAGCTACCTAACCCCTTTGCATGTGCCAAACAAAATCTATAAAGTGCAAAAAATTCGAAGAAGGAGCATTGGAAATACATTGATTTGGACTGTAAATAGTAGTCCATCAGACGGTCGGTGTTGCCTTGCAGCTAACCCAAACACTGTTGCTACTGGTCAGGTTGAATTTATCAAAGCCGAAAAGAAACTCCGGTATAAGGTTTAATGAGCAGTGTTTAATTTTTTCTTGACCTGCTTCTCATATCCCCGATACTGAGAGGGTCTTTCTATCTTAACCCCTAGGCTGAAATTTCTTGATTTCACTCTGCCTGTATTCACACCAAGGTTGGTCTGAAGTGGTATTTCGATTTTGAATTATCTAAAATCAGCAATACACGGTTCCGAAAACAAAGAAAGTTACATCTTGAACATAAAATTGCCAGGGTAAAACGGTATTTTCAAATCGGTATCACTTGAATAATTACATACATCGGTTGGTCAAAAAGGAAACCTTGAGGAACACTCAAAACAGCAAAATAACAAATGTTGCAGACTCGGTTTGATTGAACCAGTTCAAGGACAGTAGTTGTAAATGTAAGCTACCGTCCACGCTCTCTAGCACCGGTTTAAGCAAAATTCAACATTGAAACATGAAATGACTAAATTGATGGGTAAAAATTGCTATGTCAAATCAGTTTATGAAACAATATTTCATAATGTTGATAAAAAGAACTTTTTTTCACTTACTAATTATATCTATATATTCTTATGTTGCCTCATATGTCAATAAGGTTTAAAAAACGAACAAGAAACTTTAAAATCATATCATGCGAATATATTTTACATTTTAACAAAAAAATGTTCCATTCTTGAAGTTTTTGGGATATTTTTTTTAAATCTATTTGTAGAATGGTTTCAGAACAATAGAAGAATAAGAAAAAGAACACTTTGTATCAGAATATTTGCTTTAAAGTATATACAAAAATGTAACAAATTGTTAAGAAAGTTTAGCATCAACAAGTTCATAAAGTAATTGTTGAATAAGCGATAATTTTAACAATGCTTGAGTTTATTAAGGCATCTATACGGAAATAATAATTAATCAATACTTCATGGGAGATAGATTTATGACAAAACTGTTATAAAATAAGATAAAAGATCATGAACAATAATTTGCCAATATAAAACATATGTTTTACAAGCTCGGTAATATTTCCGACTTTCTCCCCTCTAATCCCTCTTCCATGGAGATTAAAACATGATAGGAGTTCCTCTCGTAAATATCCTCTGAGGAATTGCTTTTGCTTTGTTTACCCACAAGCCAACATACAATACACTATCAATTTCTGAAAATTTGATATTAATTTGATAGGAAAGCTAATTAACAAGAAGAATACACGTGCACTGAGAACGGCGTCGGAGGTAGCACGTGTTGTTTGTTCATGTATACATCTTCTAGAATAAACATAAAATCGTGTTTCCATGCCATTGTTCACATTCCTGTAGCATATTTCAGCAATGGCATGGTTCTGATTTATATATAAAAATGAAGCTATGCAATTAATTATTATCAATATTATCATATTTCTGGCACAGACCGTGCATATTATATATAGTTTTATCAACTGCAATGAAATAAAACATAACTGGCACGTGATCTCCGTGATTGCTGCAATTTTTCGTTATGCACTTACGAGTTTAGTGTACAGATGGTTTATTATAAAGTTATCAGGAACATTACGTTTCCTTGTTATTAAGATAAAGGTCAAATCATATGTGCAATGAAACTGTTCCATTATACGTCATTTACCTCTTGTATTCCATTCGCATGTTCTGAATTATCTATTTGTATGTAAGGGTATTCAAGTGATTTTAAGATGCGAGTTTCCAGCATATATTTACAAATAATATAACCATTTTGTTTTATTAGATTTAATAATATACAACTAATATAACCATTTTAATTTATGAGATTTAATAATATACAACTAATATAACCATTCTAATTTATGAGATTTAATAATATACAACTAATATAACCATTTTAATTTATGAGATTTAATAATATACAACTAATATAACAATTTTAATTTATGAGATTTAATAATATACAACTAATATAACCATTTTAATTTATGAGATTTAATAATATACAACTAATATAACCATTTTAATTTATGAGATTTGATAATATACAACTAATATAACCATTTTAATTTATTAAATGTATTACAATAACCAACAGCACAAAAACGTTGATAGTTGTCATATATAGGAACTAGCCTGACTATACTATTCTGTGTAACATTATTAGCTGATTGCAAATTATTTGAATCCAAGTAAAATTTCTAGAAAAGTATACCAATTATATATATTCTTTTCACAAGTCAATTTGCTTACTTTGGAATCTTACGGGGTTGTTCTTTTATATTCATATAAATGTTATTCATGTTATTCCATGTCAAACAAAAAGCAACTTTTTCATGTATCGATAAGTAGAGGATTGGCTGGGAAATTTTAATATTTTCGTATTTCAAGTTTTTTAATTATCTTTAAATGAATTTTCTGTAAAAATAATCTTGGTAATAAATATCATCATGTCCTGACACATGTATGTTGTACGTATTTAATGTGCTGAAAATATTGGAAGGTTGTTGAATATATACATGTGTCTATGCACTGATTTATTTCGAATTCATAATGTCTTATCATGTCATAATATGCTCTAGACTTTTTGCTTTTTTATTGTTGTTGTATTTAGGTTTTGTCTATTTAGTAATTAAAGTAATGAAATAATAAAGAAACAAACTTTTATCCTTCAACGCATTAGAAATTAAACTGATATTTTCATTTATTCTTGTTTGCAATATAATACTTACATTTCATAGCATTACCTTTGGATGTTATTCGAAGATGATTCCGTTCTTTTCCCGCAGATGTGAGTTATGCTCTTTGAAATTAGACGTTGAAAATAAGGACTGAACTATTTATTATAATGCTTACCTTAAATTCTTTTTCTATTTCAGCCAATTTCATCATTTCTTGCCGCAACTCAAACGTTGTCATGATTGGGTCCGGGCTAGACAGGGCCATATACGCCGGACTCGCTAGAGCTCGGTATGCATTAAGTCGTGACCTTGATCTTTTGAGTGAATCATAATTCTGTTTTGTCACACAATCGTTGCAGGTGCATGAAATTGGATGTGGTTTTTCAATTCTATGATTACGTGAGAGGAACATCTGTATAATTTCATGATTATTATAATGAGCAGCTAATATAAGAGGGGTTATATCGGGGGAAAATTGACTTTTTTCTTCAGTTCGGAAAAACGCTTCACCAACTCCAAGTCTCTTTAGTCTATCTTCACCGGCCATAAAATTCGGATGTTCAGTTATAATCTTAACAATTTTCGTAGCACCCTTGCTAATTGCGTGAAGAAGTGATTCCTCTATGCAGTTAAAGCTAAGGTTGTCAAGGAGAACCTCAATCACGTCCAGTTTTTCACTGTCGATGGAAATGTGAAGCGCGCTTCTCCCCATGTAGTCAAGACAGTTGACATTGAGGGAAGAGTCATTGGCATCCTCAACAGACTGCCGTAGGACACCCAGGTCACCCAGGTAAGCGGCATTTAGGTATACCCGTTCCTCGTCAGTCAACTGCAATTTTACAAACAAATATGCATTATAATATAGTTTAATGGGTTTTTTAAATAACATATTTATATGTCCAATGATTTTGTTTGAATCTTTACCATATTTTGAACTTATAGATTAAGATACTGAACAAAATATATACATTTATTTAGATTTTTTATACACTATTTTTAATAACTGATGGCAATAATGTACTAGATTATAACCTTAATTATCAAATTTATGACAGAATAAAAATGTACTTTTACTTTTTATGCAATGACTGATAATACAATTATTGCATTTGTCAATCTTAAAGGTTATTGTGCACATTATCCCATTATAATTATAGTTTATGCGAAACATTAGGCATCCTGTGGTTATTTATTACGCAAAACAATAAACAACTGAGTGAATGGTTTTTATGTTTATCTTTTCTACAGACAAGCTTCTTGATTACTAAATCGTTTGACAGTTCAAACAAAGCGAAGATAGATAAGCGATCAAACAAAGAAACGAAATTGAGTAAAGTTTTTTACTGTTTCTTTATTGTTAAATGATTTGATTTCTTATAGTAGTAATACTTTAACAGCAGCAAGCATCAAAGTTTTAGAGATGATTCTGCTTTTGTCAAACGATATGCGTGTTTATGCTCTAAATTCTAGTGAACTCTTCAGGTTTAACAAATTATGTTTTGTTTGCTATGCCATTAGCAACAGATTTATTACAATTATTATTTGGACATATTTTAGAACTTACTGAATAACAGTTTAGCATTGTCTTGAAATATAGACAATTAAAAGAACTATTTGATAAAAGTAATTACTGGTATTTGACAAAATAACACAACCATAATTTTGAAAAATAAATTTGGTGAGCTGTTTGCTAGTATTTTCAATCAAAGAATAGCTACATGTAAATTGACCAATGAAAGAAAACCCACTATGTTTATGCAACGCAATTTTTATTCTTCATTGAAATAAAATATTTCAACCAGAATAAAAAAAGATTGTGTCGTGCATTTTTGATACAGGAATGTGGCTTTATTAAAGATTTATATGCTGGTTTGAATGGTAAATTGCAAAAAGTTCGCAATATACATGCACTTACTTTTTTATTTCATCTAGAGATAAATCACTTTTAAAGATTCATACATTTATCTTTTTTGTCTGATTGAACATTAAATCATTAAATTAAATATGACACAACCGAACAAGGAAATGATAATTTTACTTTACCTGAACATCTTCAAAATTTGTAAAGAGAGACCCCTGGGAAGGCATTGCTGACGACCTTTTGTGGTCCGCCGTCGTACCGTATTCACCGCCCCTGGAAGAGAATTGAACATAGATAAAAATAGTGCTTCAATAGTGGACGAAAATGTACCGAAATTCTGCTTCTGGGGATATTCACATCAATATATTTATCGTATAATGATAACACAATTGGATGATGTCCGTAGAAATCGAAAATAAAGTGGAAATGTGAAATACTATTTACACACATATGTTGTTTTCGTTTTTATGTTTGTATTTTTTGACCACGGAATATTGTACATGTATTAGAATTTGAATAGTCTTTAGTACAGCATTTTTGTCAAATAAGGTATTACAAACTGAAAACAACATAATCAAAAGGTATAAAGAAAGCTTTCATGACATTTCGTCGAAAGACATCTCATCGAATATAACAGTTAATCGAATATGACATTTGATAGAATTGTACAAATTGTAGAATTTGTCAATTAATCGAATTTATTTCATGCCGAATCTTGTCGACAATATGTATATTTTGTCGAAAAATAAATGACAGACAAAACATAAAATACAGGTCAAAATATATGACAGACGTTCTTTATTTTCACTCGGCTCTTCTTGATTATGAAACAGAATTGGCCTTGGTCACTGATGTATATGCCGTATGCATAAGTTGACGTCAATATCTGATGTTATTATTATGTATTATATATAAAATGCCCGTCTGTCAAAAAGGTAACTATACAGAATGATCTTTTATAAATGTCGATTTGTATACTTGTATAAGATAAAATGTCTGTTTCTTAATTAGTACCAATTAGACTAAGCCATTTTCCCAATTGATCAACCACTTACCAACAATGACAGGTACAAGCATTTGAACAATTAGCAAGTTGAAAAAAATGCAATCTTCGCCTTGGCAGCTTACAACAATACGTGCATACATTATCGTTTAGATAGGAACATTGGAACTAAGACTTTGTGGTTAAACAGCATTTTTGTACATTTCCAGAAAGATTTATTTCTTAAAATCTTTTAATAAATTGAAAACATGCCATCCGTAATAGATTATGTACGTAGTTTAATACATTACTTCTTTGACATCGAACGATGCTGTAACAAAAATATTGTATATGTTCCGTGTAATTCTTAATTGAGGAATGCAATAAAAAACTCAATTTCTAAAAAAACATTTGTCTTCATTTTTCGTTTGACTAATTATAGCAGTTGGTGCTTATTTCTTTTACATTAAACATACTTAGAAAATTACTTCACAATGTTAGGCATATCTCAACACCTGTACAGCCAATTTAGTATCTTTTTCACTCAGAAAATATGCTAAATTACGACATTTGTTACAGATATTAATAATTTGTAAAAGTACCATTGTTCATAATTTTACACGGCTGCTTTCAACTTTCTCAGTTTTTGTCATAAGCGATGTAACATTAGTCTCTACTGCTGTAAACATCAATGCTTACTATTAAAATATAATTTGGGTCCAAAATATGAGAAGTATTTGTAAACAATACATAATGTAAAATTACGTTACCAAATTACATGGCTTTTCTTCATAAAATCTATTTAAACCATAGTAAGCTTGATTCAATGGCTTTGTTCTATCAAAATATATACTTGTGACCAAGAAATACCACTTCGATACCACTTTGATAACAGAATACAGTGATGTCTCAGATTAAAAGACATTCGCGGCGTATTGAAGATTGAACAAAATTAAGATTCTGGTCAATGAGCATTACTGTTTTGTTGTTTTATTTCTATCATATAAAACAAACAGAAGAGTAAGGAATCAAATAAATCAGATATACTGTGTTAAGGATTAAACCCTTTTACTAATTACTAATTAAATTTTAACTTATGTGCGGTGTGTTTTGACATATATAGATAGAATATATGTGGTTTGTACACATATTGAAATCATCATTTTCTTTAATGCAAAACTTTAATATATCTGAAAAATGACATTATATCCAAGGTTTTAAATAGCAATTATTTTATAATGCATGGATAGTCAGAATGTTTACATTTTCACATCCAAAATGTTTTCAGGTTCTTTCGTTGAAGTAGTTCAAAATGACAAAAATACGAAAAAAGGAATGTGATCGTAATAATTCTTTAATTACCTAGAATAGAACTTCAATCAAATCTGCTAACAGAATTGGCAGGAACGACTTAACAATTGCTTGTTACAGCGTTTCTAGCCGCTTGAATAAAGCCAATTATTTTAGGCACGTTCTGAAATGAGACTTGTTGATTTGGCTTTCTTAACCAATCTTGTAGAAATGGAGTTAACATGTGACATGGTGAAATAAATGAAATAATCGAGTGCAACTCATTTACTGTGTAAAGATAGGGATAATAGCTCCATTTTCCCGGTAACTATTGACAATGTCTAAAAGTTAACAAGCTTCTCTAACTATATCAAATGAAATTATATGAAAACGGAGGAAGATTGGGAACGCACATAGATGAACTGATGATTTCCGAATATATATGATAAAGTTACATACACACGACAACTGTTATATTTCAATATGTTGGATAAAGAAAAGGTTATTAGGAATTTTAGCATACAGTGGTCTTTTAAATTAATCATATAATAAAATCAGATGATATACGTTCAATATAATGTATTTAAATTATACATTTTGAATGTTTGTCATAGAAAAAGTATGTGACGAGGAAATCAGATATTGATTAAAACCTTCTAGAGAGTTCATATGAAAATTGCTTTAATAAAAAATAAAAACATAACAAATATTATGTAAATGTTTTTACTATCTTGTCGCAATTTTCACCCATTGTGTTGGTTTAACATTGCAAAGCTTGATCCTTCATTTATATATTGCATGATTCCATGTATTATGATTACTTTTCAAATAAAAATTAAGATAATGAATAAACAGTCTCGCTAGTTATAAACTACGAGTATATGCTTTGAATTTGATAATTAGTTTCCACAACTTCAATGTTATGTTATTTTAATTTTTTATTTACTATGTTTCTGTTTTTAGTATAATCACTACTCACGGTAACCGGTAAAGAACCTGCTTTCTCTTTCTTGATGCTCTAAGAACGCCTCTAGCTTTCCACCCTCTTCCGCCATTCATTTCCACTTCAGGTGTCATTAGCGTTCAATATTTCAAAACTCCGTCATTTAAAGTCAATAACAATTAAATTTCAATTTAAGAAAAAAAATGTCTTTGAAAATATTTTATTTTAAAGAAATTCCATCTTGTGAATCAACAATTTTGAAGACGACTGATTTGTTTCCCTATGCGTATTGACTGCTGGCTCTTGTACGACATAAAGATGATAGGAATAGGTTCAAATATGGTGTTTTTCATTTGACGCAAAGGGCGAAAAACAGGAAATTGGCCCATCTCTGTCTGGTAATTGTAGAGGCGCAAATTTCCTTCTCGTGATTTAGATTTATTTAAAATGATTTCATTACAGCCACGAAAATTAGGAATGGTAGAAAAAAAACAAATTTATTTATAAATATAGGAAATTCAATATTTCGTTACAAACAAAATGTTCTCCCTTCGCTGGTCCAAAATATTACTTGGCAATATTCCAACATTACAAATTAAAAAACAACATGACAGCAAATGCTTCAATCTTTGATTTCGAAAATCTTTGAGACCAGGAAAATCATCAAATACGGTATCAAAATTGTGGCAATCATAAGAAAAAAGAGAAATGAACTCTTTTGATTACAAGGTTATACTCATGCTAGCATAAAATTCGTTATTCTACCGACCTTTAGTCACATTCCAATTAATCTTAGATGCAGTTTAAACTTTCGGCTATGACCTGCATATCAACTCATAAGCTCAAAATTGTCTTATATATACGGAATTCCATAAACGACAGCCTACTGTTTACTGTCAACTGCTTATTGTCAACTGCTTACTGTCAACTGCCTACTGTCAACTGCTTACTTTCAACTGCTTAATGCTTACAGCGACTGTTTAATGCTTACTTGATGTTCATTGATGAATGCCAACTGTTACACCTGTCAAATACCCAAAACAGCCTGAAAGTAAATGTTGGCTTTTTACGTACTTCTTCCAATGTGTTTATATGTTACAAAACAGTATTGGTCAAGGAATTACAGTACTCTGTATCATTTATGAAGACTTTGACTGAAACCTTGGGACTCGTTACATTTATACATGTACATGTATAATTCTCGTTATACTAAGCAGAAATATAAGTGTATATCTTTGCAGGCATCTGGAACTTTTCCCAATCATAGACCTGTAAACTTTATAAAATGTTATCAAACCAAATATTACAAGTTTTTTTCTGTCATTGAATCTTGTTCGGTAATTTTGAGCTACCAAATAAAACTGCTTGCTGAATTATTTATACATGTGTATCCCTTTTCAAGCTTGTAAAAGACAGTCATTTAGATACATCTACCATATAACATATATATTATTATATTTGTTCATTAAATGACATTGACCCTACCCTATAACTATAGTGCTTAATGATATTTTTAAACGGAGGACTTGTAATTTTAAGAACGTCGTTGTTTTTACATTTAAATTACAACGGTCAGTTTTATGTTCGCATTTTGAAAATAATGCTATCATATTTTGTTCGAAAATTATCTAGCTAATGGTGCTCAAAACGATTTTCAGACAAAATCATATATACCAGTCACGTCTCGGATTACCAGTAGTTCATTCTGATAGCCGTTAAACGTACTGGGAGAGTATACCAAATCATACATGGAACCGTTTAGTTGTATCTAAAAAGTTAATACTTGTTCTGGTGATTGTAGACCGTACTTCTACAAAGCCCCAAGAAAATGTTACTTCAGTAGATGTTAAAAAAATATTCGACAGAAGCATGATGACTAACATGTCAATTATTGTGTTATAAATTGGAAAGTCGATGCATAATAAAATCATTGAAAGATCTTTGAGTTACGTGGCATTATTATTTAATGCAAAGGAATGTTAGTAATTGTTTAACGATATGATGAACTGCGGTATCCTAAATTTGAGGCCTTCCGCATGTAATTCTTAAGTTTTTGCA